ATTGATGAAAAAAAAAAATATAGTGAAAATTTTTTACGTCATTCTCGTCGACCACGAAGACTGACATTTTTATTTTCCTACATTTTTCAGTTTTTTAGATCCACCAAAATTTTTTCCTCTTTACTAAAATGTGCGTAATCTTTGAAAAACAAAAAATCCGTAATAATGATTCGACATTTGGTGGGGGGACTTTTTTATGTATTTTGGGCAATTTCCAGGTTTCAGACTGTTATTACACTGATTGGGTTTTTCTTCTTGGCCATTTTCAGCCATCATTGGTTTCATTATTCTTTTTTTAATAAAATATATTTTTTTACTATAGTTGTCATTACCATTTCCATTAATCTTATTTTGTGCCATTTCGGTCCAACATTCTTATAATTCATGAATTCTTCTGGCCATTTTTGGACACCATGCTTTTTGTCACCAGACTGATTTTTGTCTTGTACCATTTTGTCATGGTGAGTCTGACATCGATTCTCCGGAAATAGATTTTTAATTTACAGGCCTATTTTGTTGATTTGGATATAAATATTTTATTGAATCATCGGTATTTTTTTTTTTAAATCCAATCAACCGCAATTTCTTTCCGTTTCAAGAAACTAAAAGAAAAGAAAGTTTTTGGTAATAAAACAAACTTCAACAAAAATTATTATTTAACTAATAAAAACTAAAACTATTAAAAGTTTCCATAAAAAGAACTTATTTTAAAGAAAAAAAATAAACAAAGAAACAAAACAAAAAAAACAAAAAAAACAAATATAGAATGCAAAATATATTTTTTAAATGAAAGACGTCTACTCTTAGTCCAAAAAGAATACGTAAAATAAAGGAAAAAAGATTAAAAAAAAATAAAAAAATTGCAGCTGAAAAAATAAATAAAAAGAAAAAAAAAAGAAATAAAAAAGTAAAAAAAAAAACAAATTAGGAAGAGTTTTAAATTTAAAATGATATAAAATTCGAAATAAATAAACGTGAAAAAATATAAACGCGGAAAAAAAAATAAATTCTTGATATGAAAATTTAATGAAAAAGCAAAAGAAAAAGGTGAAAATATGTACAAAAAAAATTAATATTTTATTTATATATAGAGCAACAATTTTATAACAAAAAAAAAAAAAAAAATAATAAATAAAAATTAAACAAGACATTTAAAAATTTTAAATGAATTTTTAAATCTCACCGAAAAAAAAAAAAAAAAAAAAAAAAAATTTTTTGAAAAGGATATTTATGGGTGAAAAATTAAATTAAAATAAAATGTTTCGAAAAATTTCACAAAATGAGAACAATGTAATAAAAATTAAAACTTTTTTTAAAACAATAATAATGCAAAAAGGTGAATAAAATCAGAACAATTACCATGAAAGTATTTTTATAAAAGACACAGATGCAATCTTTATTTGGCCTGAAAAGAGGAGACCGCGATATCAAACCAAATTATATTGCTGATTCTTCTTTGATTTTATCAAGGAGATGAAGATTAATTTCAAAATACCGAACAATATTTGGCATCAATATTCTAAGCATGGACAAATGATAGACTTAAAGATTTAAAAAAATTAAGAGAAAAGTTTAAAAAAAACAATAGATAGTATTACTTAAAAAAGATACAAGACTTTTCAAGTTGATAAAGGCACTGTAGGCGTTCTGAAAGTTTAGGAATTTTTATTTATCGCAGATTAATTCCACAGCGCAGCGAATAAATCACTGTAAGTTATTTAAAATAACTCGAATATTGGGGGAAATGAAAGAAATGAAATTTCGAAATAAGGTACTATCACACAAATCCTAATGCACCAAACCAGTGAAAATTAAAATACAAAACACTTTTTGTTAACTTTTTTTCTGATGCGGTTTAACCAAAATACATCAATTTTTTCTTTAATAAAACGATTCGAGGACATATAATTTTTATAAAATCCCGAGCATTTTTTCATTCGTCGACAACTGGGAGCGGACGCCAATTTTTTGCATATCAAAATACTTTTATAGAGACTCCTGTGACGGATTTTTTTTTAATCTAAATATTCCGTCTGAAGTATGTCATGCGGAATTCCAAAATTTTTTTGGTAAGTAATTTTCTTTTCCGAATCGTTAGGATAAAACGACGCGTTCTACTTTCATTTCAATGACTTAAGTCGCCGTTTTTTTCGCTATAGACTCATAAAATTTTCGAAATAAATTGACAAAAAACGAAATAAGCTTTAAAAAAACATATCAATCGTTAAATTTCCAGAAAGTTGTATATCATTATGTGCAAGAAACTAGAACAACCATCTTTATCTAGAAATATTTCAAACCGCACATCCAGCTTATTTCGAACAATTCACATTATCAATCACAGAATAGCCGATAAATCGTTATTGAATACATTTTCAGAAAAGATTAGAATCCACACGGAAAGACAATTGTTTTTTATGAAAAATTTTAATTACACCTAAAACAACAAATCTATTAGGCAGCGATCCTTATTCAAGATCGACTTATAAAATATATATTTTCAGATGACAACCTATTTCAAATCTCGCCATTCTAATTTATTTTGGAATTTTTAGTTCATTTTATATTTTGGGGTTTAAAAAATTAGGTATTCAAAGAAAAAGTTGATTCAATCTCGCAAACGGCTTATCAACCTATTTCAGTTTATTTAAAAACAAATTTATTTTTTAGATTTTAAGAATTTTATTTCCCTAATAGGATTTTAGTGATACAAAATTAATAATTAACCCATAGTGTGGAGGGTAAGATGCGAATAAAAATATACCTAATCAGATTTTAATAAATAAACAAAAAATTATGATCTGGATATAAAGTGGAAGATATCTTTTTATAAAAAACAATCAAATTTTGAGTCGAAAATGTCGTTATATTAAAAAATAGGAATATCACAGGAAACCACCATGGATAACTAAATAAATGTTATTTTAAAACCACTAGTGAGTCCTGCTTTTTGGAAGGTCGAATAAAAAACAAGAAAATTAAAAAGTCCTACTCAGCAGATCTCCTACAAGTCCCACGTAGTCTGTTGATTTTATAGTTTACATTTAATACCTATAGTGTAGTCACTCATAAATATGTCAGGTTATTCCATTACATCGAATGTAAAATTAAATTGATGTAAAAAGACCGGATTTTCTAAATTACATTTTATAGTGAATTTTGTATATTTTTCATCTTTTTGCAAAAGAAAACAAAATAATACAACATATCCAAAGGAACAATATTTACATTATTCGGACTATTGTCCTCATCTTTGTCGCCATATTTATTACAACGTTTCGGCCGTTGTACTCTCTGGTCTTCTTCAGGTGGTTGAAATGTCGAACTTAAACCTTTATTTCGCTCATTGGGGTTGACTGTGTTCTAGTTCCACATGCCATGTTTAATGGATATCAGCTATCAGTTATGTCCTGCTAATTTCAATCAAAAAGGTTCTCCACTGGCCTTAACCGAGAATTGAACTCACACTCTTTGGGTCCCATTAAACATTGCATGTAGAACTAGAAACAATTGGATCTAACCAACGCTTTTATCCTCTGTTCCATGTGTCATTGAGGAAACGTTGTAATAAATATAGCGACAAAGATGAGGACAATAGTCCGAATAATGTAAATAATGTACATAATACTTCATCTCAGATATATAGACAGATACTGAAGGGCCGAAACGTTGTAATAAATATGGCGACAAAGATGAGGACAGTAGTCCGAATAATGTAAATAGTGTACATAATACTTCATCTCAGATATATAGACAGATACTGAAGGGCCGAAACGTTGTAATAAATATGGCAACAAAGATGAGGACAATAGTCCGAATAATGTAAATAATGTACATAATACCTCATCTCAGATATATAGACAGATACAAATGAATAGTTAGAAATTAATTTCACACTGGTTCACGAAAATATTGCAATATAAGCACTGGTAAAAATTGTAGGTGAAGACTATAATACCCAGAAATTCATACACAGATGTCCTCAAGGACACATGTTACAGTGGATAAAGGCGTTAGTTAGATCCAGTTAGATAACGCATTTATCTTTTAATCTTCACGTGCTGGCTTGCCTTACTAAGGCATTTGGATGAGGGGTATCTTTACCCTTCTAATTCTTACTAAAGCAATCCATTACTGTCCTAATTCCATGCCTATGAATTTAAAGCCAAATATTAACTCGTGTCGTCTTAGTTCTGACAAGTATTTTTGTTCGTCCTGCACAGACTTTTCGCTAGGTGCAACCAGTTGCCAAATCTTACATGTCTATGGTGCCGTATTCTTTTGTGGATAAATTTTCTTCAGATATTGAAAGAAAGCCCAGCTTGCACTCCTGAATTTTGGAAAACACCACACTGACCGTTTCCCGTGCGATATAGTAGATGAATCCGACCCGCTTGATTCTGGCACCCTAAACATGGCTTCTCCAGAAACCCAGAAGAATCTCCATACTATACGTATGACACGCTATTTTTGTTTTTTCCTTACTCTCTGCTTGCTGTGTAGATATATGTGATATAAATTCTCTGCGTAGGACACGTGTATATACATACATGCATATATATATATATATATATATATATATATATATATATATATATATAATTGTTTGAGGCATCCGTTTCAAAGGGAAATGGAAAGTATTTTTTCTGATTTTCTTTACTAATAGACAATTTTAAATCAATCTTGCGTAGAAACAGCGCTTTTTTCAATTGGGGCAGAAACTGAATCAGTCACGGATCTTACAGCCATGAAGGACAACGGTATCCATTAGTCTTTCTATTTCAATCAACAAATGTCTATGAAAGGCGGGAGGTACAAAACCAAAATTTCATTTTTTTTCAATTTTAGCATCTTGCTCTTTCACTTTTCACAATAATCACATCATTCTTCTTTTTTTTTTCTGTAGTGTAGTGTTACTGATTAATGGGAAGTAGTATCCACTCAACTATCTCCTGGGTAATAGCTATAGCTATTTATAGTCTTTGTGACTTCATATGTAAATGAGACACCTCTCTTTCTTTCTTTCTTTCTTCTTCTTTTTTCTTCTTTGTCCCTCACTTTCTTATTATGATCTTTCGCACAATTCTTTTCTTCTTTTGATTTTTTGTACCCCATTTTCCCCTCCTTTTTTCTTTTTTTTTCTTTCTTTTTTTTTTTTTCTTTTTTTCTTTTTTTTTTTTTTCTTCTTTTCTTTTCTTTTCTTTTGCTTTTTTTTTTTTCTTTTTCTTTTGGTTTGGTTTTTTTTCTTTCTTTTATTTTTAAAAATTTTCTGTCTTTCTAACGTTTTTTTTCTTTCTTGTTTTGTCTTTCTATTCTATTTTACTTTTATTTTCCTTTTCTTTCTTTATTTATTTATTCATCATTTTTTTATTGAATTTCTTTTTTTTTTTCTTTCTGTATTTTGCTTTTTTTTTTTCTTTCTTTTTTATTTTTTTATCTTTTTTTCTATTTTTTTTTTCTTTTTTTTCTTTCTTTTTTTTTTCTTTCCATTTTTTTTTTTTTTCCTTTCTTTTTTTTCTTTTTTTTTTCTTTTAAATTTAAAAAAAGATTTTCTTTTTTTTTTTTGATAATTAATTTTTATCATTTCTTTTTTAAAAAAAACAATTTTTCTTTTCTTTCTATTTTTTTTTTTTTTTTTTTTTTTTTTTTTTTTATTTCTTTACAACTAATTTTTTCATTTTTAGATTCTTTTCTTTCTTTAATTTTATTTTTTTTTTTGATTTTCTTCATTTTTACCTGGAAAAATTTCTTTATGGTTTTAATTTTTTTCTTTTTGACTTTTTTATTTTTTCTTTTCTTTCTTTTTTCATTTCAAATATGATTTAAAATTTCTTTATTTCTTTTCATTTCTCCTTTTTTTTTCTTTCTTCAAATTTTAATTTTTTTTTGATTTTTTTTCTTTGAAATTTTTTTGTAATTATCATATCTAGAAGTCTTTAAGTCAATTTTCGCCATTTTCAATCCATCTATTTTTTTTTTTAAGAATTTTTTTTTTCTTTCTTTTCTTAAATGACATTTTTTTTACACTAATTTAAATTTGCAAAGATTTCAATTAAGTTTTTCATAAAAGAATCTTTTTATCACATTTATGAATTAGGATATAAAAATAAAAAATATAGAAATTAAATAAATTGGAATTTTCTTTTTTTTGGTATTTCTCTTGATATGAAATTTGGATGAAAAATAATCATCTTAAGTAAAAATTTTTTTCTTTAAAATTTTTCAAAATGGTTTGCAATATGAAATTTTCCATTTTTTTGACACAATTTATATTTAAAAAATGAAACTTTATATTTTATTTTTATTCTTTAAAAAGATAAGAATTATTTTAATAAATAAAGAACATTTTTTTTTTTCTAAATTGTAATAAAAAATTATATAAAAATAAGATATGAAACATTTTTTTAATCTTCAATAAAATTAAATGAATTTTAACAAATTTTAAAAATTTTTTTTGGAAAAAGAAAATAAAATTTATTATTTTCTTTTTCATTTTTTCCAATCATTTAAAAATTTAAAACACTATTTACATAAATTTTTAAAAAAAAAAAAATTTCTGCATTTTCAAAATTTTTGGAAAAAAGAATATATTCATATTCTATATAAATTTATATAAAATAATTTTAAATTTTAAATTTGATTAACAAAATATAAAAATTTCTTTATTTAAAATCAAATAAAAAGAAAAAATTTAATTTTAAATTTTTTAAGGAAATTTTTTTAAGAAATTTTAACAAAAAAAAAATAAAAACATATATTTAATTATTTTATATAAATATTTAAAATTTATATAATATTATATTTTGGCTTTTTTAAAAAAAATGTAAAAATTTAGAAAAGAATTATGAATGGAAATTTTTAGCAAAATTTAAAATTTTTTTTTTCTTTTTTTTCATTTCAAATTTTTTTTTTTTTTTTTCAATTTATAACAAAAAAAAATTATCTTTTTAAATTAAATGAATTTTTCCAATTTATATTGAATTTAAAAAAAAAAATTCAATTTTTTGATTTCTGGAATATAAGTTAATTTTTATTTTTATTTTAAATTTTGTATAGAAAAATAAAAAAATTTTTTAAATGAATTTTAAAATTATTTTTATTTTTTCAGAAATTAACATCCCTAATTTTTTTTATTTTATTTATAAAAAAGAATTTTATATATATATATATCAAAAAAAATTTTTTTTTTTATTAAATCAAAGTAAATTTTTAGTTTTTATTTAAAAATAAAAAAGAAAAAAATATTTTTAAAAAAATATATGAATTTAATTTTATTATTTTTTAAAATAAAAAAAGTAAGAAAAAATTAATTCAGAATTAAAAAAAAAAAAAAAAATGAAATAAAATATAATTTAATAAAAATTAAATGAATTTTATAAATAAATTTAAATATTGACATTTTTTTAAATTAGAAATTTAAAAAAAAAAAATCCCCAAAAAAAAAATAAAAATTGAATATTAAAATTAAAATTTAAAAAAGAAATTTTTTGAATAAATTTTATATTTTATTTAAAACAGAATTTTACATTTGAAAAAATAAAAAATATGAATTTTGAAAATTTTATTTAAAAATATTTTATAAAATATTTTAATTTTTAAAAATAATGAAAATATTTTTACATTTATTTTTTAAAATTTAATATTAAAAAATATATTATAAAATAAAAAATCCAAATAAATTTAAATTCAATTATATATTTTAATAAAAATCCAAAAATAAAAACAATTAATTAATTATAGATTTTAATCATATTGTTTTGCCAATTAAAAAAAAGAGAATTGTGAATAAAAAAAAATTTATTAAATCTAATAATTGAATCATTTTTTATTGTTTTTTTTTTTTCAAAATATATTTCCAATTTAATTTTTTTGAAAAAGTAAAAAAAAGAAAAAAAACAATTTTTATATGATTTCTAGTTGATCAAAAAATTTGTTTTTTGTTTAAAAATTTTCATCTTAAAATATTTATTCTCTAAAATAATAAAAAATTTTTGTTTTATATATTTATTTGACATTTTAATAATGAATGCAAAAAAAAAAATTTGGAAATCATATTAAATATATGAATATATTAGGGAAGAATATTTATTTTTGAAATATATTTATTTATAAATGAATTTTTTTCATTTCAATAAATTTAAAAAATTTGAAAAAATTTATAATTTTTAATAAACAAGTTTAATTATTATAATTTTTATAAAATAAATTTTTCATTTTTTAAAACATTAATTTAAAAATTTTGATATTTTATTTAAAAATAATGATTTAATATAGTTAAATTTTTAAAAATATATATTTAAATGAAGGAATTCCTTTGAATAAAATATATATATCCATGGGTAATAAAAAAAATTTTTGAATAATATGCATTAAAAAATTTGAAATTTTTCAATTAATATATTAATATTCCTTTAAAAAACATTTTTATTTTATGAATAATAAAAGTAAATTGATAAAAAAAAAAATCAAAAGAAATCAAAACAAAAATTTATTTTCATTATTTTGAATAAAAAATAAAACTGAATAGTAATACTTGGAATATATTGATATTTTTTATTTAAGTTTTAACAAAAATAAACATATTAAAATAATTATTTTAAAATATCATAAATTTAAAATAGAAATTTTATATTTATATATATATTAAATATTTAAATATATATAAATTTACAAAATTTGATATATAAAAACAAAAATCAATAAAAAATATTCAAAATATAATATATATATTTATTTTATTTTAATAGAAAAAAATTAAAAAGATTGAAATAAATAAAAAATTAATAATAAAAATTTTTTTTTTTTTTTGATAAGAATTTATTGTTATATATAATTATAATAAATGAGAAAAATATATAATTTGAATGATTGTTATTTAAAAAATTTAATAAAAAATAAATTAAAAAAAATAAAAAATAATTTAAAATATAACGAAATTTTGGGTTAATTTAACAATTAAACCTTTCCAGATTTTTGGATTTTTAAAAAATTGTTACTTTTTCAATTATTTTCAAAAATTTTATTGCAGTTCATTTCAGAAAAAATATAAACAATGATTTTGTTTATGTCATATATGTAAATTTTTTATTTAAAATTTTAAAAAATTTAAATGCAAAAATAAAGGTTTTAATAAATAGACATTATTTTATAAAAAAAAAAATATTTAAAATTTAGTTTAATTTTTTTTTTTAAATAAACTCTAAAATAAAACAAATTTTGATTAAAAATAACAAACACAAAAAAAAAAAATCTATAAAAAATATCGATTTGATAAAAATTTTTTTTTTAAAAAAATAAATTTTTTAAATTGATTATTCATTCTGAATTTGAAAAAGTTTTGAAATGAAAATTTTCAAATAATAAAATAATTTTCAAATATATAATGAATATTGAAATTATTTTTTTATGATAAAAAAAAAATAAAAAAAGATAAATGAATAAATAAATTTTAAATTGTTGAATAAATATCATAAATTTATATAATAAAAATATAAATTCAAATTTAAAGATTTTGAAAAAAAATTTTTTTAAAAAAAATAAATAAATAACTTAAATGGAAAAAATTTGTTTAAAATTTTAAATAAATTTTTTTACATTTTTTGAAATTTATTTAAAAAAAATAAACAAATATATCTTTATAAATAAAAATTTTATAAAAAAATAATATAATTTGTTTTTAGGTTTGAAAAAATATTTTTTATAAGGATATGTTAATAAAATTTTTATAAATAAATGCCTTAAATTTTGTCGTTAATTTCATTTAAAAAGTATTTTTTTAAATTTTCAAGGGAAAAAATATGAAAAAAAAAACAATATTTAATTATATATAAAAGGTTGATATATGATTAATAAAATATACATGTGAAAAAAAAATCATTAATTTTAATGAATTAACAAATCAAAAAAAATTGTTTTCAAAAATTGAATAAAATCAAACAAATTAATGACATCAAAATTTTAAATTTAAAAAAAAAATTCCAAAGTTAATATATTGATTTTACATTTTTGATTTAAATTATATAAATATTAAATATAAAAATTTAAATATGGCATAAGGACTAAAAATTTATTTTTTTTTTAGAAAAAATTTAAATCAAATTTAAATTCAAATGAAAAAAAAATATTCAAATATATAAAATATTAAAAAAATAAAATTTTTGAAATTTTTTTAATGTTTAAACATTTTTAAAAAATGAAAAAAATTAAAAATAATTTGAAAGAATTTAATATATATAT